TTTTCTTGACTCGTTAGCTTCAATTTTGTCGTGACGATGTTACCTCGCTCTGATGATGTCCGTCATATGACGGACGAAAGCTTAGCGCCTTTTCAGCGGTATCGAGTGAGATTGCCTCCGAAACAGCGTCAGCATGAATCTTCCAGCAAAGCCAATCGACAGTTGGTCTTCTGGTGGAACCGACCTTCGAATCTCGTCACGCAACACTTTCACTCGAAATGGAAGTAAGCTCAACAATTATGAAACAAGAGATTTCTCGAAACCCAACTTTGCTTCGTATGCATTAAAATAGCCTAACATTTGATCTTTCTCAACAGGTTAGTAAAGGTGACGCGGAAAATGATCACATGCTCGGCCGATCAAGTTAATTTTTGAACTGGAGGCTTTTTTCCAGCCAGGACGCCGCGTATTCTTTTGCATTTCAAGTTGTGGAAGTTGAGCTGCCGTGAGCGAATTAAAAAATATTTCGTCCTTGACCGTCGTAATTTGTCATCGCATTCAAACAGTCTTGAAATGGCAAGGGATGCCTTCACTTGCTCAACTAATTACTCATAAAGTCACCCGTTCAACCTATTCACCAACTTCGGCCGATGAGCAAAATTGTCGTTTCTATTCGCCTTTCTTTAGCCGCTTCATTTGACCAACCGAAAAAGCGCAGACCCCTCGTCCATGTTTGATATTCGCCATTTTCCCGCGGCAGCTGCGATGCTCCATATCTCGTCCCAGCCTGCCCGATGGAGGTGGGACAGCATTTTCGTTTCATTCGGCTCTTTGTCGCAACCTGATCCGCTGGCGAGTCCAGCCTTCGTCGCACGAGCAATGAGAACTTGAGTCGGGCAGGGATGCTCAAAGCGGATCGGCGACCAATAGTGGGATTTTTCATAATCGCTAACAGATTTCCTGTTGCCTTGGCTGAAAAACAATTTTCCCATCTCGATTTGACTACACTTTCGACCTCCATTTCAACAACGAGTGACTCTTGTATTATAACTTTGTTCACTCTATTTAGTTTAAGGTAGCTGAATTTTCCCACAATTACATGAATGGCTTCATGTCTATACGGAATCTCATATGGCCTTGCTCTCCAAAAGGTATTCTCTACTCGGCTGCAGTTGACCTCAATTTCGACGTCGCCAGAGTTTGTCTCATCATCCCCGTGGCGGGACTCGAACCCTCAGATTGCTTAAACAGCTACTTATAAGCTAAAATAAGTAGTGCGGTCAATTGCTATAGCAAATATAATGTTGCCTCACCCACGATCCCACCAGAGGAGAGAAAAGCCTGGCCTTCATTAAAATTCCCATCTTCCCTTTAAACAAGGGCCCTCGTCGTAGTCTGGAGTAGGGATTATACGATTCACTACAGAAGTCCGGGTTCAAGTCCCGCTGGAGGTGCTTATGAGACCAGTCCAGTTCATTTCAGTCAGAACAATAATGCTTTTCGGAAAACAAGGTTATGTGAAATTAAATTTAAAAGTGAGGAGGCCTAACCATCAGCTTGTGGGAAAATTCACCTACCAGTCCGCTTATCACCTCAACGAAATGAAGTGAATAAATTTCTTATGCGACGAGTTGGTAGGCTTTGATGAATTTCTAAAAAGATTCGACGGTCTATCTCACCAAAAGACGTCGGCTCACTCCAGTTGTATGGCGGCCGTTCGGATTTACTAACTTCTTCCTGTTGGCGCATTCCACGAGACATCCTCCTTCGTATCGGGCGCAAACGGGATGGTATTTCGCTTGTCGTTTTATGAGCATCAGCAGAACTGTAACTCATTCTTGCAAAAGTGTCAAGTCAAGAAGCTTTAC